TAATATTTATGGTAGGCCCAGAATCTTTCCAATTTGACATTTGCCTACCTAATCTAACACTTTCATCGTAAGTAAATGGTGCCAAGGATTTGGGTTATTTGGAACATATTCTAGAACTGGGGTGGGTTAATATTTTGCAAAGGCTGCATTGAAAAAAGAAATTAATCGTGATATCACAGTGCAGGGCTTCGTGAAGAGTGAATAATGAGGACTAGGGTTTATATACTCCAAATAAGTGCATTAAAATCAAGGGAGGCCGGTTGTTTTCTTTTACACAACCACCTGTTTGATAAAGTAGATGGATGAACCAATCAGCTTCCGATCATCCAAATTCTCACACAAACTTGGCAGCAAATTGAGGATTTATACTAAGATCAAAGTTGTTTTACACAATAATATTCACCTTTTAGAATGATATCACGTGAACAAGGTTTCTCACATATTTTTAATATTCTTGACAGTGTTGAACTGTTCAAAGTCCTGTGCCAACTGCTATATCCTTCACCAGGATATACTGTGCATAGCTTCCAACCATTGATGTTCACTTGCGAATGCTCATTAAACTTCCACTATCTATGTACTTTTAAACTGCACCCGGGTCAATTTTTATGCAATTCTAGAGAATGTATATCATGGTAATAAAAGTATAATATCGCACATCCTGGATAACAGTGAATTTAAATGACCTTTGACCCAGACAACAGATTTATTAATGATCATTGAAACAAACTAGATATATACAAAAAATATTTTTTAATGAATATAACACACAAATACTTGATATTGCCCATATTGATCGAATACCAATATTATATTAATATATTTCAAACTGAACCAATTTTAATTTGATCTAAAAAGAGCCATTTGATCAAGATAGTTCACAACACGCATATTATGTAGACAATTAATAATTTCATGTAGAGAACACGATGTGCAAGTAGTTCAGATGATTCCAGTGAGTTTCATAACCAACCCAAGACACAAAATATCAGCACATGATTGGTTATGCAGGAAGCCTTGGTTATGCACGAAGACATCGTTGGGTTATGGAGCACAGGGATGGACTTGTTTGGAGGATTTAGGCCAGGGTGGTTCAAAGTTGTTGCCTTCGCGGGCCACACAATTATTTTTGCATTGTTCGCGGGCCACAATAATGTTAGAAATAGGTTAACAGGGCAATACAAAACAAGCACTTTATATGCAAACAATCATTCATTGTTTGTCATGTATCAAGCTAAAACATGCAAAATACACCAGAAAAATCACTGAAACATTTATCTACATTTAATATGAGATTTCAAACTCTTCACAACGGAGAAAGTGCTCCCGCAAATGTAAGTACTCTCGAGCATCGATGGGGTTCTCAGAGCAAAATTTGGAAATGCTCATTGCTCACACGATAGCAAAATGGCTTTTTAGACTATATTTGCCATAACTGCTGATTGATTGTTTAACATATTTTACCGAATGTAAGGTACACAGGAGTAATTACTAATTTTTCTTATATATTAGAAGCATTTTTTGTAATACTGTTTAGGCTGGTTCAAAACATCACGGAAAGAATTACATTCTCAGGCCATAATATTAGAATTTAGGTATTATAACTGTTGAAATATATTCCCAACCAAAAAGATAGAAAGCCAGTGAACAATTTGGATTACCCAGGCATACTATTCAGCTTCGCTAGTTGCTTCAGCTAGCCGTGGCACCAATCAATTCAGTGACATTAGCCATATAACAAGATGTCGAAGATTTTATGGTTATTTTTATACCGAAACAACACCAAATGCGATTTTCAATTACCCTTCAGCAAAGGCGACGCGGGCCACAGATAATGACGATGCGGGCCACATGTGGCCCGCTTGGACCACCCTGGTGTAGGCTGTGATCCTTGATACATTGGTGAAGCAGATGTTATTGGGTGAATTAAAAGCATCTGTCTCAGTAGGCAATAAAGTGGCCCTAGTGCTGACATTGAAGATGTGTAGGATCAAACACCTGTCACTAGTTGGGAACATACTTGTCCTGGTGGAACAACTACAGCTGGCGTAGAGGGCATTCCTGTGAAACTCTTGTTAGATTGACAGGTATCATTATATATTACGATTTGCAAGTCGAGAATATTCAAGCGGTGAAGTATAACTTCAACTGGCCAAGTTCATACAAAAGTTATGTGTACTGTCTTTGGCTTCACATGGAATGAGAAAGTTTATTACTGGGCGTAGAACCTCCTAGGATAGTATTTACATATTTATCCCAGGGGAGAGGAAATCCGATAATACGACATAATAATATGGAGAATCACGGCCTCTCGTCCGATTACCGGTTCAGTTCGGGCATGGGATTTGCTTCCGGTAGCATGGACCTAACTTGCAAGTGGTTTAAAATTTATTGTAGATGATTCAAATCGCATAATCGAACAAAATCTATAGATGCTTCGAATAACGATGCTTAAAATCGAAAAAATGACAAATCATAAGATTCAGCTATTTTAATGCACAATAAATTTTCCTATAAAATTTTACATGAACAATGATAGAATTTAAATTAGAACATTTAAAATAATGAATCGTATATATATATATATATATATAGGAAAACCAAAAAATAGATGCTGGATTACAGAAAACAAAGAATGAAGGAAAATTCTTCAATCTGGAAATTTAATCCTAATGTTCATAAAAATATAATATATATCAATATTCAAAAATGTGTCTGCAGAGCCAGAATTTTGAATGTTGGGTATGCTCACGTGTTGCATTTGTATAGGCCAAAGTTTTTGTTATTAATATTGTTGTTTTCTCAGAGCTGGAGTAGGAGCCAAAATATTGTAACCGCAGTTGAAATTTGCATTATCTCCGAACCAAAGTTTTAAATTGTTTTTTATGTTTGAAGTCGAACGTATAATCTCTGAGATTTTACAAAAACGGAATTACAATTAGAAACGTATATTACATAATTTAAATGTTTCTAATTGTAATACTGCATATATATATATATATATATATATATACAGGGTGTCCAAAAAGTTTCGCCCGATTCCATAGCAATACCAATTGCAAATTTGAATAAATTTTGTTGTATGGTAAATAGGGACTATAACATCCAACATCTATAACATCCAATTAGATACAGGCTGATTATTAATCGTTTTTATAATTAAAAAATATATATCATTCGATTATACAGGGAGTCCTCGACTTACAACGTTGTTCCGTTCTCGAGACGCGGTGTAACCCGAATTTCAGTGTAAGTCGGAACATTATACTGTACAGTACACAAATTACTCTATACATATCGTATTGTATTGTCCACGTCATTTACGATGTGAATGACAAAAACCAATGAGCCCAAAGTACTGATTTTCTTGATCACAATGATCCAGTTTAAGGGCTTAGATATTACAGTAGAGTATTATCTTTTATATTTTTATGGAGTGCGTTCGTAACCTCGAAACAGCAATATGATGAGACTTTATGATCGGGCGAAACTTTTTGGACACCCTGTATATATATGCGCAACAATCAGAACGAAATATAGAATAGTCAAGTATTCGAAACCTCTGGTACAGAATGAAATGACTAACAATAAATATATAAATATATATAAAATTTTTATTCCAATTTGCAGCAGTCATTTTTATATCTCTATATCAAATAATATAAACTTTTATACAATAAAAGTACTCAAGTAGTACAATATACAAAAATAGTTTATTTTTATTTTCATATTCTTTCAATTAAATAATATTAACTTTAATTATATATAATAAAATGCTGCATATAAAAAAATTTAAAAGCAATTGGATAATATGAAGCAAAAATATCATGGCTTCCCGTAAGCTCAACTCTGCAATTTCATGGCAATGATGTTTGAGCCGATGTTATTCAGCTCATGCCTAACACCTTCACCAGATTGAAATAGACGGGGTGGCCCATTTTTCTGCTACTGCTCACCTTTAGATAGATTGCTTGTTGGGAATATGTAGATTTAACGAGTTATAAACATCAACTATATACATGAATGGAGTAAGAAATTATCGTGGGTCATACAGTTAGCATAGTCCAGGGGTGGGCACAATTTTTTAGTATAAGAGCCACATGCTGCAAGTCAGAACTTTAAAAGAGCCGCAGAATTTATGAATTTATTATTATCAAAATACCATGAACAGAAAAAAAATTCACACAAGAGTCTAATAACAATAAATGGACCTCCTGAAGTATGCGCACCAAGATGGTGCACAACCTGAACTTAGGTTGTGTACCAGGTTAGGGTTCAGGTTAAGCCACATCTTGGTGCGCATACTTCAGGAGTACCCAATAAATAGATAAACAAGGCAGCTATGCTCAAATATATGCACAATTTGAGCTCATTCAATCTGTGTTTCCTTATAGCTGATTTACGAGGGTAGTCTCGTGAGAAGTTTTCGTGATTTGTTTCATGGTGCCGTTCAACATTGCTGACTTTATTCTGACCTAGTAGCTTATGGCAGACTAAGCACAAAGGTTTATTTTTCTGACTGGTAAATGCGTATTCTTCTTCCCATTCTGACTTGACAACTTTGTTTCCATTTCGTACTTTCGTTTATTATTTGATGACATATCGCACAGTAACTTAGACTAACTAACCGCAATCAAGCTGCAATACCGCCGACGCATCAATAAACATTGACCATTATGACGGAAGATTTGCAGACTTGACTGACTTAAATTCAAAATTTAGCGTTACGACAATTTTCATACTGAAAAATAGTTTGTCTTAATCATTGACAAAAACTTTTATTAAATTAAAAAAGTTTACATTAAAGTTTTTCTCTAAGTTAAAATTTTGATAATAAGTCATGTTAGCGAGAAGAGCCGCACAAAAAGTCTCACGGTGTGCCCACCCCTGGCATAGTCAACATCTATCTGGGAAGTTTTATTGACGTCGAATCGCCACCAATGACCGAATAGAAAAGGTAATAGAGTTAGCATTTTCAACTTGAACCTATGGTTACACATCTATTGAGCATAGCTACAGCAATAAACCCAATTCACCTCAGGCCCATCCATTTCACAGACTATTTCCCATTCACCAGATAATTCATTGAATGTTTCAATAGAATCCTTAGTCAGACCTCTACCTTTAGCACCACCGACTGCATACATTTTATTATCAACAACACATGCACTGAAACATTCTCTCTTCATCTTTATTATTGCAATTTCTGTCCATGAGCGAACAACAGGATTATAACATTGAACAAAGTTGGAAGGAAGCAGACCAGAAACACCTTCGACACCAAGCACGTAAACCTTGCTTTGAAAAACGACTGCTGCACCATTCTGTGTCCCATAAATCATCTGAGGCAGGAAAGACCATTCCTTTGTTTCAGGATCGTTTACTTTTGCTTCTCTAAGTGTTGAATGACCTCCCATTGCATATATGAACCCACCAGAGGCAGCAGCACAAAATCCATAATCAAGGAGACATGGGGGCAAATTCCTATTCCATTTGTCTTTGGCAATGTCATAACGCACTGTATGCTGATCAAAGCCGATAATATAAATCCCACCCTTGAGATAAACTGTATTATCGTTTACTTTCTTTCTTTTAACCTTGGTCTTCCTAATCCATTGTCCATCCTGCAGCAAAGATAATTCATTCCCATCTGAAGCATACAATCGTCCCTCAGCATTGACAAGATGAATGCCAACATCATCATCTGACTGCAAACTAGACCATTGATTTGTTTGGAGATTCAGAGTCTTTATACCTGTTCTTGTCGAGACAGCAATATGTGGGACAAGTATTTCCATCTGAGCTCTGGGATAATGAATATCAAGCAATAAATCTTTACATTTATGCGACTCTTTAACTAAAGGTTCATTTCTGACTGTTTGTTGAATAAAATCATCAGAAAAATCCTGAAGTTTCATCAACTCAAATAAGTCTGGAAAAAATTTCTTATGGCGACGACTTCGTTTGGCCCATTTCAGTGCAGCTTCCCATTTAATTTTCTCTGAAGAATATTTTGTTTCCGGAGATTTGAACAAGAAGAAAATTTCATCTTGCTCCAACTCAATAAATTCATCCATTGGTACAATTTGTTCAAAACTCTGAGCCATAAATTCATTGATTATATTACTGACATTATCTGAGTCAACTTTGTTTTCAAGACGATTAGAGACAAATTTTCTCTCAACCCATCGATATTCAAAAGCAATTTTTTGATGACAAAACTTTTTGCTTCTGGAGAGGTTTTTACCAAAGAATCATTTGGCAGATCAGTGAACAGAAAGTTATAAGGAAACTCTCCAAAATGCAAAGTCCCCATCAGTTCTGATCCAATCTTTTCACCTTTGTTTAGAATCCATCTTCTCACAGCATGCCAAACTACTTCATGTTTTTTATTCAACTTTTGCAGATAAAATACAAGATTTTCTTTACTGAAATGTAGAAAATCTTCACCCAAAATCAAAGACTCAAAATTATCCACAATAAATCGCTCAGCAATGATTTGTAGCTCTGTACGATCATAAAGTCTTGCCATCCTGACCACTAGGAGGCAATGCTGCACTGACAGATTATTTTCCATAAAATTGAAGCATATACCTGATAATACATCAAGCTGCATTAAGTGGGAAGCATACAAAGTATTTTCAACAGATTCCATGGATGGATTTGCTTCACCAGTATACATGAAATCTACACACTGCCCTACAGCATCAGCACAGATGTCTTTCATAATGACAAAACCATCCCGAGCCTCAACCATGTTACTTGAAAACATGCCTTTGAAGTACTTTGATACTGCGGCAAGCAGATCTCGATGGACTTTGAAAGATTTGTCACCAACTTTTATTGTGAAGTTACAAATTGTTTTAGTTCATTGAATGATGTAAGTACATCATTGTTTTAGTTCATTGAATGATGTAAGTACATTCAATGAGTGGGTGATTTTTGCAGATTTTTTAAAATTAGCCATCCTGAAAGAGATTCACAAATGGCAAAGCTTCGATGATGAGTGTAGATGACAGTAAGATGTGTAACCAGCTTCTGTAATATTTGTATTAAGTAAATTAATGAGTTTGACAGAATTTCAATTTTGCAATACAATACAGAGAAGAAGAGATTGAAAAAACATTCAAGGTTACAAAACAGTTAGACTTTTTAATAAAGATGGCCTGTTGCGGTAATTGTCAAACCTTCATGCTTCATAAGATTGCACTTTTCTATTTTCGGGATGAATATCAAAAACCTATCCTGTACACCAGGGCTGGCCAACTTGCTTTCGACCTTAATTGACTAAAATTGTCAAAATAGCTCCCGATCGACAATACGATAATACACAAAACGAACGAGTATTGAATATTCAGATAACTGCACATTCGCACAAAAAAAGTCCACAGCTGCCCATGAGCTCGGTTCTCTGGGCAAGTTTTTAATGAAATGACCACACTAATTTGTGAATTTTCTGTCCGATTTACTTTATTAATTTCAATCTTTCTAGTTGATGTGTCGAAAATTTCTTAAAAATCCTTGCCCAGTATTCATGTATTATCTAAACAGCAAAAACAATATTTCATAACCACAAATGTTACAAGACTGCTCAAACTTTAGAATCTGATTTAAATCTACTCCGATTCTTCACTTGTTTAGAATTAGAAAAATATGGGCATTCTGATGCTATTGCTCCCGATGCAAATAAAATTTATCACTCTACTCTTGGAATGAGACAATAACTTCGAGTTGATTGATGTGTTGGCCACCCCTGCTGTACATTGCAACCTAATTTCTCAACCTAGTCATTTTTATAGACAAAGCTGACTTTTCAACAACTGGCAAACTTGGCTTTTCTCAGGCATACCAATGTTCAGTAGTAGAATAGACTCATTTCAGAGCAAAGCGACCGATGGAACTGGTGACCCAATCGCCAATATCTACAGAAATTATTTAATTTTTTTAAATGAATTACGCGCACTCATCAGTAGGAGACTTATTTGTGTGCAACGTTACGACCAACCACTGAAATGCCAGGATCGACTGATTTTATTCTAAATTGTGGTGGTGAGTTACGCGCCCTTACTTAAAAAAAGAATCATAGTTGAATGAAGTTCCAAGAGCTGAAGATAATATTTAGAACTAAAACGGAATATTACTAAGCACTCACTCAGATGTGAAAGAGTTCCATCTCACATCAAACTTAATTATAATTAACTATAATTATAATAGTGTAGTGAATTCACTCAGTAGTAAATAAGACTCATTTCTGAGCGAAAGAGCAAACACTGAAATGAAAACGGGTTACAGAAATTATATAGAATTATTGTAGTACATTAAGCGCACTCACTCAGTAGTAAATGGGACTCATCTCAGAATCTCTAGGCGCAGTTACTGAATGGCAATCACCCAAATGTCAATAGCTATTGGGGATATTTAAAATATTGGTGGTGCATTATACGCACTTACACAATAGTGAAGGAAACTCACCTATAAATCATGTCACATGCGACCACTGAAATGCTAAAAGCTACTGGAACTATTTGAAAGTCTGGTGGTGCATTATGTGCAATCAATCAGGAGTAAAGAACGCTCATCTCTGAGAAAAGTAATGTTTGCCACCGGACCATTTATACAGTTCAATTTTCCATTCTCACGCACTTGCAACATATTAATGTCAAATCATGGCCCCGACTCATATTTTCTAACGCCTAGCTAGAATGCTCACCTATCGCTTCATATGTAGTTTGCTCACCACTGTTCATTGTGATGTCACATACCAAGTGCCTTGAATTCTTGGAAATTGTTTGGAAAGGGCTAGTTTCACCCGAGCCTACAATGCCAGCGCATTCCATTATTATCATATTTCACTGAATCATTTAAGACAGGGGTGTGCAACCTGCGCCACTGCAATGTCACAATCACGAAATGAAGTTTGCCAGGGTATAGTTGTTTATCATATCAATATCGACCAACAAATTAATATCCATAACACTGATCTTAATTTTCTAAATTTAAACGAGCCTGCCTATCTAGAATATTAAACTAAATAATATATTGTATAATTCAGAATGACGAACTTCCGACCTGGACTATGAGCCGGACTAAAAGAGATTATAAGATCGGCCTTTCCCTCCCCATTGCTAAATATATAAAAACATTATTATCCTTCGTCTGTCAATACGGCGACTATTCTTATCGACAAAACGTCTGAACATAAAGAACCTCAAATTGCGAAATCGATTTATTTACTTTGTCAGTCTGGGACAAAGGTGAACATAATGGAAAAGTACTGGCGACGGGGTGTGTATGGGGCTGTGGTCCGAATAAACAACACCTTTGTAATTTAGAGGGAATTTATACTTGATTGCGGGGCATTGAACGATACATAATGTTGCGTAATTTAAACTAATTTACAATTACAGACTTCGATGGCGACTCGTAACACAGAGTGATTTGTTTTTTATATTAATCTGAATTTACAAAATTTCACCCAAACTTTTTTAATAAGGTTCAATTTGTCGTATAAGCAATTTTTGTAACAGATCAGCTAAAAGTTTAATTTCGCTAAAATAGTCAAACAGGGGAAATATATGTCCGTGATTGTTACTTAATTGTTCGTATTTCCACTTCTCCTGCGTGCATAACACAAGCGTATATTTTTAACTATGCTCACAAGCTTAAAGCTCTATTAGTGAGATTATATAATATCGTTTTTTTCATTCATATTTGTATATTATCGCAATGATCACAAACTTAAAACCCGATTCTTGAGTATCTCATCGTGATTTTGTATATATTAAATATTACAAGGTGAGATTTCTCATGTTGTACTATTATGTCTGGTGTTTTTAAACCTTATTGAAGTTTTGCTCAATTTTCATGCATTTCAGTACTATGTGTCGTCGTTTATCATGGCGGACTTGAAAATAAATTATCATCTATATATTAAAACCATTTGATATACAAAACGTCGCCGAAATTCTTTAAATCGTTAGATATCAGTGACTGCTTGTACAGGGCCTTGTTCGGAGTGAAAAGCGCGATCAAGCGTCGTATAGTAAAAAGTTTAATCTGGTCTGATTCTTTCTAATAGCTATTTTATCCTGACAAATGAACTATAGCAGTTTCCCCCGTGCCATTCAATAACTATCTATAGAATGCAGTGTTGAGGAGTTTCGTGGAAACATACCTTCACCCTGACAAAGTTACTCGAGTTATCTCGTCAACAACCAGTTGGTTTAGTGGTTGAACGACTGGAGACTAGAATGCACCGGGACTCAGGGTTTAAGTGCTTTTACCGAACACAGGTGGAACGTTTGCGCGTGATTAATACACATGATATGTGAAACACGTAATTTGGCGCTCAAGAAGTTTGTGCACCAAGATGTCACATAATCCGAAGCCCTAACCTGGTACTAGGGTTGCCAACCGTCCTTTATTTCAAAGCACAATACATTAATTAAGCTTTCAGGTCCTTGTCTATTTTAGTATTCAGAAAAGATACTAATTGTCCTTTATTCTTTCCAACTTCGTTTTGCCCATAGTTATAGTACTGTTTTTGATATTGTTCAGTTCTCAGAAAATCGCCTCCGTTTAAGTATTTGCAAGCTTTTAATTATTCTTTTTAATTTCGCCATGGTCCGACTCAGATAGTCAAAGATATCATACATATAAAACAGGGCTGTCGACTGTCCAGTCCTATTTTCAAACTTCTCAGAGTCAGAATTTCAGATTCTAATGGTGAAAATCAAAATTTACAACCTAACTGAAAAAAACATCTCAGCATTCCCAACACAATATTTAAAGAACTTTCGCAAGGAATTTTTTCAACTTTTTGCCGTCTAAGACTATTTGTACATACATGCCGTCTAAGACTATTTGTACATAGCTAGTACATGTTAATTTGCCCAGACTCAACGACTCTGTTTGGTTTTGCCTACCGAATTATATTACACTCAGAGTGAGGATGGATTTGAGCCTGAGGTTTTAATCGCTGATACAATGCGAAATGGTTAAGTAGAGTGTTTCAACTAAACAGTGTTTAAACAAACTTGAGTGTGGGTCACTAAATAATCAAACCTATTTCAATATTCCAACAAGTCCTGTCTTTGTGAACAGATTACTGGCAACATAGCTACGGTTTAATCTATATATCGGAAAAATATTAATTATATTCACATTCGATAACAAATTCACACGATTAAATCAGTTATTCTGCCACCAAAATAAATAAACAGCTATGTATTGATGAAAATATATTTCTGTAGTGCAAATGTCAGAAATTCAATCTTGAAGTGTTCTGAGAATCCAAAAAAAGATAATATAAAAAGTAAGTATAGTATTTGGTGCAGATTAAAAATGAAATATGTAAGAAAACGAGAATATCCAGGACTTTGCACAACTTACTATTACAGTGAAACGTGGGCAATAAAAGCCCTGAGAATAATGTGAAGATAGCTACAAAACCAGCTCGATAAAACTTAAGCCTATTACAAATTGTAATTATAGAGTTATGAAGATTCACAGCTTGCCCGAACAGTGCACAATAAAATTGAAAACTAGAAAAACAGCAATATACCAAATATATATATCAAAGCTAATATACGAGAACTGTAATTAGCGATTAAAGAAAGTGACTCACAAAAGCATTCAAAACAAAATTCAACTTCTCACAATTGTTTCATTTTTAGCATTACCTATTTTTCAGCGTGGAAAAAACTTTTCATCATTCTTTCTTACAGAATACACAATTGGACGAACTATGACATTACAAATAGAGTATGGAGATAATATGAAACTGAACAGTATAATAAATGAATACAAAATAATAAAATATCTCACAAAAACTGAAATTTAGTATTCCATATTATTTGCAGAATATGAGTGACATGAATCATAAAAAATTCAATAAATGACAATGCAAATACGCATGTATAATATATAAAATAAGTGGTGAAATTTATCCTTAAAAGTGAAAACTTGATAACAAATGAAAATCCAACATTTTGTTCATTAAGGGTTTGTTACATTTATATTATTGCCAATAACTTAATGAGATGATCTTTATCTAGAACTACAGTTATTTAGTTAATGCGTTCCATCAATCACTTACTGAACCGTGGAATATTGAGTAAACTTTAACACAATAGAGTTGTGGAATAATTAGTGAAGCTAAAATAGTCATAGTCAGATTTATTTTTTCCATCCAGTAAAACCTAAAATACGAAATTGAGAAAAAAAAAAAAATCCAATACACATTTTTACCGGGGAAAGGAAGTCGCTGAGACAAAAAACTGGTTATCGAGCAGCGACACCCAAGGTTCGATATGTAATTTGTAAAGTCGGAAACTAAGTTTTAAAAATATTGTTATCTCAGACAAATTTAACGACTGTGTACCAAAATTCATATCAAATTGTAAATGGATATTGAGGAAGTCAATGGGAATCTAAAAATTTATGACAAATTTAAACTATCAAATTAAGACTGATGAAACTAGGAATTACAGTGACTGATACAGCTAGTATTGTCGGATATATATCTGGGAAAGTTCATTGCGTTAAATCAACACCAATGACTCAATAGAAGAGTTAAAAAAGTTAGTAACCTGTTTAAAAAAAATGAGAATATTTTATTAAAATTCAATTTACAACTACTTTTATCACCGATTACGAATCTATCGAGCATAGCAACAGCAATAAACCCATTCTACCTCAGGCCATCCTGCCCCATTAGGCCGATCCATTTTACAGACTATTTTCCATTCACCGATTTCTTTATTGAAGGTTTCAATAGAATCCTTGGTCCGGCCTTTACCTTTAGCACCACCAACTGCAAACATTTTATTGTCAACAACACATGCACTGAACCAACCTCTATTCATCTTCATTTTTGCAATTTCTGTCCATGAGCGAACAACCGGATTATAACATTGAACAAGGTTGTGAGTGCTGATCAAATTCCAACCTCCCAGTACATAAACCATACTTTGAAAAACGACTGCTGCACTAATATATGCTGCTTGAATCATCTGTGGCAGGGAAGACCATTTATTCGTTTCTGGATCGTATACTTTTGCTTCTCTTTCTGTTGGCCAACCTCCCATCGCATATATAAACTCATCAGAGGCAGCAGCAGAATAACCATAACCAAGTGGACATGAAGGCAAATTCTTATCCCATCTGTCTTTAGCAATGTCATATCGCATTGTATGCTGTTCACGGCTAATACCATAAATCCCACCCTTGAGATAAACCATATTATCCCATCCATCACCCTTCTTTTCAACTTTGGCTTTTTTAATCCATCGGCCATCTTGTAGCAAACACAATTCATTCCCATCTGAAGCATACAATCTTCCCTCAGCATTGACAAGATAAATGTCAACTTCATAATCTAACTGCAAACTAGACCATTGATTTGTTTGGAGATTCAGAGCCTTCAAACCAGTCTTTGTTGATACAGCAATATGTGGGACCAGTTGAGCCACAGGGGCCCTGGCATAGACAACATCAAGCAATAAATCTTTACACTTATGCGACTCTTTAACTAAAGGTTCATTTCTAACTGTTTGCCGAATAAAATTCTCAGAAAATTCCTCAAGTTTTATCAACTCGAACAAGTCTGAAAAAATTTTCTGATTATGACGTCTTTGTTTGGTCCACTTTAGTGCAGTTTCCCATTTAATTTTCTCTGAAGAATATTTCGTTTCCCGAGATTTGAACAAGAAAATAATTTCATCTTTTCCCAATTCGATAAATTCATCCATCGGTACAATCTGTTCAAAATTCTGAGCCATAAATTCATTGATTATTTTTCTGACATTCTCTGAGCAAACTTGGTTTTCGATCCGATTAATCTTCTTCAAAATGAATAAAGTGTCAAGAGACAAATACTCTTTCAACCCATCGATATTCGAAAGCAATTTTTCGATGACAAAACTTTTTGCATCTGGAGAACTTTCTACCAAAGAATCATTCAACAGATCAGTGAGCAAAAATTCATAAGGAAACTCTCCAAAATGACAAGTCTCCATCAATTCTGATCCAATTTTTTCATCTTTGTTTGAAATCCATCTCTTCACAGCATGCCAAACTATTTCATGATTTCCATCCAACTTTTGCAGATAAAATACAAGTTCTTCTTTGCTCAGATGTAAAAAATCTCCACCCAAAATCAGAGACTCAAAATTATCCACAATGAATCGCTCAGCAATGGTTTGTAACTTTGTACGATCATGAAGTCTTGCCAACCTGACCACAAGAAGGCAATGCTGCACTGACAGATTATTTTCCATGAAATTAAAGCATATACTTGATAATACATCAAGCTGCATTAAGTGGGAAGCATACAAAGTATTCTCAACAGATTCCATCGATGGATTTGCTTCACCAGTATACATGAAATCAACACACTGCCCTACAGCATCAGCACAGATGTCTTTCATAATGACAAAACCATTCCGAGCCTCAACCATGTTACTTGAAAACATGCCTTTGAAGTACTTTGATACTGCGCCAAGCAGGTCTCGATGGACTTTAAAAGATTTGTCACCAACTTTGATTGTGAAGTTACAAAGGCAGTCAGATTGTTTTAGTTCATTGAAGGACGTGAGTACATTCAATGAGTGGGTAATCTTTGCAGATTTTTTAAAATCAGCCATTTTCTGAATTGTGGAAGATCTTCACAGATAGTGAGTCCTTTATAAAAGTTATAAATGATGATGTAACTAGATTCTGTAATATTTGTAGTAATTAAAAATATTTGAGCCATTGTAGAATTTCGTTTTTGTAACACAATATATAAAAGTGGATAGTAGTAGAAAGATAGAAGTAGTAGTAGAATTTTAAATAAAATTCAAGGCTACAAGCCAGTCAAATCCTAATTTATAATAGAAATGTCTTGAATTCAGAAGATAATACACTGCAACCTAATTTTTAAACCTAAAGTCTTTTCACATACACAACACACATTGCAATGTGTCTCTTTTATTAGAGACAAATCTGACTATTCAATAATGGACAAACTTGGCTTTACTGTGAATCATACCAATGTTTAATTTTTTTATTGCAATACAACAGAACATGTGCTAATAATGCTTCGAAATTTAAAGAGACTTCGAAAAGCCCAAATCAAAAATTCAGCTGAAACGTAATATTCAACTTCAATGTTACAATTCACTCCTACCACATTTCTCCTGATATCGTCATGTGTGATTAATTTATGTTCATGTATGGATATCGGCTCGCATAATTTGTATATTTTAAAATTTCTCAATTCTCCACTTTGTAATTTTGCTTTCGATAAAAAAAAATAAAATACAACCCCCAAAGATAAGCCCAAGCATTATTTTTCAAAAGAAAATTTAAACAAGACCCTGTCTTATTTTTGGGGGAACACAGTAGAACGAGTTGAATTAATTTGTTCAACCTAACTTATGTTTTACAAGTGAATTTAGATTCAAGCATATCGGGATGAAAACAAATTTGTGGCAAACTTCCAAGTATCATCTTCATATCGGTCCCAAGGCTCTGTTAAATTTAGCATTATTTCATCCAGTGTAAAAATAAATTGATTGGTATTTTTCAATAATGAAAAGCGTATTTTATATTACTTGGAACAAATATATGAGTCAGTGGCAGTTAGATAGTTATTTCCCGAATGCGTAATTCACTTGAACTGATACTTATTTATGTTTATGACAAAGTCGTAGCCATGCACCCTTCTTCCTAAAAATAATTCGACAAATTTTTCAAATGCAATCAGATGGACTAGCCGAGCTATTTGAAAATGCAAGCTTATATACCTTGGATAACTTCGACAGCGAAGTGAATCTCTAGAAAGATTCTTCAAGTTCTTGTTAGATATCAGTGGCCTTTTTTATCCTGACTTATTCTGAGCAGGAGGCACGAGTGAACGTTGTATTACATCATTATTCGAAGGATAGGATTCACAAAAAAATGTGAATGAAACTTGTGATCAAAGTTTTTTCCAATAACTTCCATTATGTGAATTCATGACCTAAAAGCTGTTTTCCTGATCATAATTAACATATATTGCCTGCGAGTCAATCGAAATTCGCTAATGCGCAATTTTTCATTATAATGATGTCCCAGGCACTGTCGACCAACTTTACTCAGAAATAAATCTCCTACATTTCTTAGAGGGTGAGCGTAGATTTGCTTTAAGCATATTTTCTCCGAAAAATCTGTAACATGTACTATCTGTAGACCACACCATGGCCCCAACTCGAGCAATAAAATAATCCAGTTTTAGCTGCATCGAGATATAACAGTTTGGTATTCCGTCAACTCCAGTCATCAAATTACCTATTGGCGTCATATTACTAATTTGTTTATAAATTGTGTATGCCAAACATGGTCAGTGTTTCAGCAGTGTATTTTACCAACAGACCATTCTCGATCTTACAAATGTAAATTATTACATTTCAAATTATCGACTGACGTCAGCTAATCTATTTCCTTATGCACTATGACTAGTTTACCAGCATGACTCGATCTAATATGCAATGCACAAATATATATGTACACATAAGTTGATATGTCACTACAATATGAGCAAAATTCCAGCCAGATTATATAAGGATTACTGAATGTCATTTGACTTGGGATAAATATATAGAGGGTCGATGGCGAGCAGGTGGCTAATAGCACAAACATTTTATAATTCAATTCAATGCGTTTTCCCACCTTCAATTCTGACCAGGCTGTGAACAATCTGTCATAAAATTATTATAAAATTTCTATAAAATTACCTCCCACAATACTCTTTTAAGTCTGGCAAAGATATCATTTCTGAGTCATATAGTTATCGTACGATGCATTGTCACGCTGTTCAATACAAACATGGCATTGTCACAGAAATGTAAAGTAGTAGTAGTAGTAGTAGTAGTAGTAGTATTTCATATTTATATGGTGGGCCCAGAATCTTGCCAATTCGGTATTTGCCTAATCTAACCTTTGAACTAATCTAACACTTCCATCGTAACTACAGGGTCCCAAGGACTTGGGTTATTTGGAACATATTCTAGAACTGGGGTGGGCAAAGGTTTTTGCAAGGGCCGCATTGGAAAAAGAAATTAGATGTGACGTCACAGTGCAAGGCTTTGTTGAGAGTGAATATTGGAGTCTAGGGTTTATATACTCCAATAAAAGCTCTCTAAAATACAGTAATGTGGGTTGTTCTAAGAAACACTAAGAAACTACACTCTTACATTTTTGAGACATATAAACACACATTCATACATCCTGATATTGCCCCACCACTGAATTTCTGATCTGTTGTGTTAAATAATCTAAGATTTCTTTTAAACAAATTTGCCAAAGCAAGGTTATACGTGTTTACTAATAATAGAGAAAGAACTCTGAGCAAAGTTACAGCTGAGCACTAAAGAGCCACAAGATACAGGAACTATATAACTCCACGAGTCTATTCAAACCATGCTTGCGACAAATACCTGGCTAACTAATACCATACCCAACATGGGCTGGTAACCACCGGTCGAGAGACCGTGGATTTGCCCTATAAATAAGCCGCCTTATCGACTTACGAAAGAAAATGTTATGATGGGGCATCAACAGCATATATAATTTGACACCAACAATACTGCTATCTTATACCTTTCATTGATTCCCCAGGTCTGGTCAAACATAATTGCAAAATTGAATTTTTGCACCAAAAAAATTTCACGCTATCGACTAGGCCTATTTTAAGGGGAGGGCTTACATCGAAACCATTTTTTAAAATTCAAGTTTGGTCATCTTTTGGGGGAAACGCGGTAGTGAGTCTCTGATTTTAGGAATAAATTACAATATCGTATTCAGAAATTCAATATTCAGAGCAATTTCATTTAATTCGGTATGTGCAAGTAATCCCATTCCGTTTGCACTGCGAATTCTATACCTGGGTCCAATTTATTATCTATGCAAATGAATTTATATTGCCTTAAAAGCTATCTTGTGCATACAATGAATGCAACAAGATCAATAACTAAGTTTTTGTGCCTGCAACTACTAGATAGGCTATGTTAGTGCGACCCGCGATTCCATTGGAATGTGAATGAAATATTAGCTAAATTGTACGACATTGAAAAGATTCATGATAAACAACAACCCGCAAATCCAAGTACATGTAAACACCAACCCAGGCATCGCCTTTATGCGAGAGCAAGCCAGCCCAAATTTTTTGTATAATGATGTAATATGATGCTTACCTCTGCTCATTTCTTTTTCTCCGAATAAGACTAGGTAAAAGCAGCCACTGATATCTAACAATATGTTATAGAATTTCTCCACAGACGTACTTCACGGTCGAAGTGGTACACAAGCTCGCTTTTTCATCTATCTTGGCTATTCATTTATTGAAAGGATTATTGATAGCAAGCAAGGGAAAGTCAGTTTTCTGTAAATCGTTCAAGATTAGAGTAAAATGACGTTGGAAGAGGCGTAAGAATTTATGTCTCACTGCAACATTCAGAAAAAAATGTTGGATTTGTTTGGGGGGCATTGCCCTTCAGACCCGCCTTAGGACGATCAAACAAGTTATCATACTTGGTTGCCTTTAAGCTTTCATTTGGTTCAGAGATTTCTTTTCGTGCCCCCGTTTTGGAATTTGTCAAGTCTCGCGCCGCACCTCAAACATATCTAGTTAACAATTAGCTACAAATAACAGATAGTAGAGTCAAAGTATGCTTTATTCAAAAAACACGATAAAAATAGGTGAACATAATACAGAAATGCAGACAATAAAGTACCGTAATGTAAATATCCTAAATAAGGCGGGCAAGATCAAATCTATCAAATATTTTTAAATATCTCCACGCCTCCAAAGAAATGTTTGAGCCCCTTTTGTGGGCCACGCCCCACTGCTGTCAATATATTGGGTAATGTTCTAACAAATTTCAATTTATGTGGAATTCATCATTACTGTACCTCATAGGACCTGAACCATCTCTGGGGTTCAAGATTGCAATCTTACCAATGCTAGCAAGTGTCCATTACGCAAAAGCTATAGGATTTCATACTGAAAGATAATGAACGTATTGGCGCATATTTGTACTCTCCATTATAGATTAGTTTAAGTTCTCTCAACTGCTTATAACCATTCATACAAGTCACATACCTAGATCCGGCTTATCATGCATTGTCATCTTTGTATATTTTTGAAGCCATTTGTATAAAGTTTATTCTTAAAGTCAAGAAAATCTTGCAAGAAAGAGAACATTGAATTTGTCAAGGTTAACACAAGTGCGATAATTATAGAAATATCAATAATGAAATATATATTGCCCCATAAGGATGGCCCATGGATATTATACCTGAATTCATTGAAGTTCATAAAATACTTATGAGGCAATTTATGTAATATACCACATGGTAAGAGAATATTGTTACCAAATATACATGGGGAACACTGGCAGTAGTAAGCAGAACTCTTATATCACATGCAAGAATCCCATCAGTTATGAATGGAAAATGATTAAGCAACACTTTTGTCATAGAAATGCAAAAATAAAGAATATAGCACACATATACTCAATGTGTGATGGTCCATACTTCCAACTTATCTTTTAAAACATTCTGGACCATATCAAAAAGGTAAATATATCGGAAATATCGGCCTTAATCTAACCGATACCGATACATGGCCGATATTGCTGATACCGATACCGATACATCGGTACATCTCTAGTTCCGATTTCATA